AAAAGTAAAGGTAAGTGGATGGAGACTCACTATCAGTACAGGAAGTTAGCGCAAACTTGCAGCTTTTTTGTAAAATTTCGTTTGATTGTCGTTCTAGGTTTGTCCGAGCACAATCACTTGCATCCACCGGTTTTACAACGGTAATCTTTTGGTTACTCTTTTTTAAGTAAAATATGTGNAGCTTTTTTGTAAAATTTCGTTTGATTGTCGTTCTAGGTTTGTCCGTGCAATCACTTGAGTTTACCGGTTTTACAACGGTAATCTTTTGTAAGTAAAATATGTGTGATAGAAGGTTGAGGGCCAGTCAACAACCGTTTCTAATGCTGATCTAGTTAAGCAGTTAAGATTTCTTTTCAGATGGTATTCACATCAATAACAGCCAAAGTGTTCACGCACGAAGAATGTGGATGGAGTTGTATAACGATTGATGATATGAGTCGTTGTATGAAGTGCAATAAATTAGCGCATGATGAGACTAATCCTGATGCATACCAACAATTCACTTACGTTCACCTACCTAATCCTTTCACAACGAATACTGCACGATGCATTCTACTGAAACCTTCGAAAGGGACTTTCTATGAGTGTGTGCTTGATTCATTTCAATCTTCATTGCATTAGTGCAGTTTTTGATCGAGCACATTACAAAAGTTTTGTTGCTATTCGATTCGTGAACGAAGAGGAAGGAAATAGATTCAGGTATAATGTGGGCGATGATCTGCATATAGGTATATCGGACTCAGAATCGATGGTACATTCATATTGGTTTAAAGGCATTATCATTGAGTCGTCGTCATGGCAAGATGCGATCTGCATCTATAAATTCCAAGAGATCGATGAAAGTCTGTCTGAATTCGTTTCTAACTACTCTCATCATTTCACAGCTGAGGTTTGTTAATTGTTGTAACTTATTCCTGTGAAGACAATCAGTCCAATAAATGTTCATTGCGACTGGGTATTATCAAGCATTTTTATTAGTTATTAAAATAGGTTTCTTATTATTTCATGTTGTATTCAGTCTCAGTGACCAATAGCTAGTCAAATTTCAGAGATATGATACGGATACATGGAACTGTTTCAACTTTGTCATNATGATTCCAAACGCTATTATCGTTAGCTGCGCGGAAAGAAGAGTGCCAAGGAAGGAAGAATGTGATATTAGTGATATTGGTAATAACAGAGAGGCATAAACTCGTAATGAGTTGCATTTGCTGATTAAATAAAATTATTTCATGTTGTATTCAGTCTCAGTGACCAATAGCTAGTCAAATTTCAGAGATATGATACGGATACATGGAACTGTTTCAACTTTGTCATAATGTTCATGAGGTACCTTGTAAGTCGTCATTCAGCTGACCAACCGATACCCCGTTCAATCACCACAAAGGATGAGTTCGTATCGAGTTTCATCGAACTGCCTCTGCAACGAACCATGCGTTACTGCCGTTTAATCGAACGTCTACAACAGACTCGTTATGAGCCGTTATCTTCACTTAATTTATCATAATTCACTGCTCATCAGCTTACCTCATCAACTCACTTCTTCTTTTCACTTGCCATCCATCCGTTCCAGCAACTCATGCGTTCATTTCCTCAAGTTGCCAGCTGATTCCAGCAACTTTATAATACTTCATTACTTCGTTTATTGCATTTTGTTGTTAATATTTCTTCGAGAGTCTATGCATACAGTATTAAGTAACTGATTGGGTTTGGTGAATGCGCATAAATAGATATGTGCGGTGCTAAAATTTGATTTATTAATGAACGAATTTTACTTTATTGTGTCGATTAATATTGTTGGTTATGTTGTTTGTAAATAAAAGTTTGTTTCTGATCAAATTGGATATTGTTTGACTCGATGGGTTGATCGCAGTGCTTATTCTGTTTGCGTTTCGACTGATATCACTGCTTGTGATCAGTTATAATTATCGGCTGTTTCGTGCATTCGTACTTCATACTTCAGTTTAATTTGATAGCATTTTGCAAATCTGAGCGTTTGATTGTGAAATGTTTTTAATGATACTAATGATAGTAATATTGAAGTATATGGCGGATATATTAGAAGATGATGATGCACAGTGTTGTGAAGATAGCGATCGTAAAAACGACCGAAGAAGTTTCTTGAAAGAACAAGTTAGTTGGATAAGTTATGTGTTTGTTAACGCTTAACGGTATGCAGTGTGATAAAGTGATTCCCAACAAGAAGAGAACCGTTACAATGAATGTGCTCAACTTCAGTTGGATATATTCGTTGAAGAGTATCGAGAAAACGCTCAACCGAGCGCAGTTTCGGTGTTCGCCTCAACACTTCCATCCGATCTACGACTCAAGAAGGATGTCATCAACATGAAACGTAAACTGAATCGTCTCAAATTCAAAATACAATCGTTCGTGTTTGTTGTTCTCATCACTTTTCAGAAGCAAATTGCACTATTCGTTATAATCATTCGTCTTTTAGATTACCCGATAAAGAAGAACAATTGTCAGGATATATACCAACAATCAATTCCATAATTGATCAGTTTGATGAGGTTCAATCGTTGCTATTAGACTGTTTATTGTTCCGTTGTTTCATTAGTCCATTTGAGGAGATGAAACTATTCATGCCCAACTATCAATTAGAATATCAGAATCAAAAGAACAGACTTGTAGGGCAATATGATCTCATGAAGTAGTTTGCATTATGCAACTGTTTGCAGATAATACAGTCAAAGAAAGATCCGGATGAGTTCAATATGGACAATGTACCGTTACCAGAATACAATTCCGTTGATATGCAATTGCTGTTCGATGACGAGTTGTTATCTGATGCTAATGATAGCAGCAAGGAGCTAGATAATGCTGAGTTGAGTGTGTATGACAAGGATGTGCATGCTCGTGTCACACAACTGATCTCCTCTTGTGAGGTGTTGTTTCGCGAATTCGACCACTTTTGCAAATCACTTTACACGTGATCGATCGCACATCGATTCATTAATCCACTCTATGTTTGTGAAGATGCAGAAAGTAACGAAAGAAAAATCATAAATGAACATTTATTCATAATCAGTTAAAACACTAGTATAACAACGTTATCATATCCTATCACAAAATACGACTGTTATATCATAACGCTCACAACCAATTGATCATCCACTCCAACCGATTCTATGTTCACTTCAGTGCCTGAAAATGGAATGTGTTCATTACGAACCTCCAAAACAACTCTCAATCCAAAAAGCTATTAATCGTACAGCTGCAGTCTGTAAAGCAACTAACATTCTTCACAAATTCAGGTAATACGAATGCGGCTCGATGTATTTGCGAATTATAATNATCACCCACTCCAACCGATTCTATGTTCACTTCAGTGCCTGAAAATGGAATTAAGTTCATTACGAACCTCCAAAACAACTCTCAATCCAAAAAGCTATCAATTGTACAGCTGCAGTGTGTAAAGCAACTAACATTCTTCACAAATTCAGGTAATACGAATGCGGCTCGATGTATTTGCGAATTATAATATTTAAGATTCATTTTCTTCACTTCCTCATCACTGAGTTCTCGTGCCGGGACTGATAGATCTCGTTTCTGGAAACATTAATTAGTAAAACGATGCGTTTGAGTGATTGATGAAAATAGATTCCAACCGATCAATAATATGCAATATAACTGAAGTGAATGCAAGTGAATATTGACGTGAATAATGGATTAAAGCAGTCGAGTGAAGTGAAGTGCTTGTTAGAATGAAGTGTTATAAAAAGAAACATGCACGATTAGAAGACAACCTCATTAGAAGCTAACAGGTATCCCATAGCTCCAGATGGATAAGATGGCATAAATGAATTCGCGTAAGAAACTGTTTCAAATTCATTTCTCATAAATTCATGCATATGTTTGATCAGTTTTAAGTGAAGCCACATACTTTCACCTGCAATTATTTTCACATACCATTTTCAAGCTACACCACTAACTACCTGCTATATTCCCGTCAGTTCATAACTGTATCCAGACGCAGCCTGGTTTATGGTTTATTATGTATGTGACAATGATGAGTTCCTTCATTTACATTTGTGAACGACCACGATAGATAAGACTAGATATTATTAATATCTCTCTTGTTCTAGATACATGTCCACTTACATTCATTATTACAAAGGCAACATTTTCATTCCATCTGGATTTGAGGAAACATGAGGTAATGATGAATGGAGAGCAATTCGATGGGATATGATCGGAATAGGCAATGGTACAGCTTAAGATGACCAAAGTTCATGAATCGATCAGACAGTAACATGCATCAGCGAGACAATAACAACACCAATAAAAGCAACAACTGACTTCGCTAACAACAAGCATTCTCTCGTTCACACAACAGCATTTGATATATACTACTTTGATTTATATCTGACACAACAATAACAGATCAATTATGAAACGAACCTTGAGTTCATCATCATTGACACATAAAAAATATCCCATTAAACCGGTTGTGTAAGATGGTACTGAACCAATACCATAATTACAGTTTAGAAATATCTCATTCATTATCGATGATAACCTCCGAATTATCAATGTATCGATCCATGGACATTCTCCTATATCTCACCTTTTTAGATCTGATTCTCTATTGTTCTTATAGTTTTTTCGTTGCACATCATAACTATTCGAATGATAGCTGATGTTTTGCTTCATTGATAGATGAACAGCTTTAAAGTGCTGCTCAAATATGTTCGTGTATAAAGTTTGATAATGAAACAACAATGAAACAGCAAAAGTAACGAAGATGCCTACCTTGTGAGGCGAGAATACCTCCACTTGTTAACGATTCTTTTATCAGTTGATAATAAGTTTTGCCGAAAAGGCTCTCTGCTGGTCCGATCGGATCTGATGAGTCGGTTATTATCACGTCGAATTCGTTCTTATGATTCTTAAATTCAATGTATATGTACAACAATGATAATGTTGAAGGGTGAAGTGTTACCTTTAGAAATTCGAATCCGTCACCAATGAATAGATTGAATTTGGGGTGGTCAAAAGCAGAAGACATTTGCGGCAGATATTTCTTCGAAGCGTTTATAACCATTTCATCGATTTCGCACATGGTCACTGATTCAACGCAATCGTGCTTCACCACTTCACGTAATATTCCTCCGTCTCCACCTCCAATTATAAGAACCTAAAATTTTTAATAACATTCATTCTTGTTTCAGTTATTAATCTTACGATTAATAGCAATAACGATATCCAATGCAAATACCTTTCTTGGACACGGGTGGGCAAACATCGGTAAGTGTGCAAGCATTTCTTGATATGCGAATTCATCTCTTTCTGTGCACTGAATAATACCGTCTAGTACGAGTACGTTGCCATACGATCGACTTAACCATATCACAATTACCCATATACAAATAAGATGCGAAAAGTGATTTGAATGCAAACAAATACCTTTCAAAAACCAATATATCTTGATATTTACTCTTTTCATGGAATAATACTTTATTTACTTGCAACGAAAATGCCTGGCCTGGCCATGCATCACCCATTGAAGCGCCATCAGATTTCAGTTCTTTATCACGTTCATCACCTTGTAATCATTTGCTAGTATTATTATCATTTTCATCAAACGCTCTGAACGTATAATGAACATCGCAAATAAGTAAACCTTTTAATCAGTGGCGTGGCCATGAATAAGAGCATAAAAATCTACCCTAAGATTCGGCTGTTTTTGGACCAAAACATTTTGCACNCCCCCCCCCCCTCCCCTCACCCCGCTGAAAAAATTCTGGCCACACAATGAGGAACGTCCTGACATTTACCTGCTTCTTGATTTAATTGTTGCGCATCATCCGGTGATAATTCACTGAACCATCCTTTGTGAAGAGCGTCCATCTGTTTTGGTTACGATTATAATTCTTTTCACCGATACCCAAATGACCTCTGAATTTTGTGCTAATAAATATTCAAAGCGATAAAGGGGACTGTGTTTGTTTGGACACTAAGCGGTTGGTGTGCTGATCGCTCGGCAAAATGTTCGTCTTTGTTGCGATTGTTTAACGCATTGGT